CCGGCCCGCCGCGGCCCCGGCATGTTCAAGAACACGTTCCAGAGCGGGTTCCTCTCGGTGCTGTACAGCATCGGCAGCAAGCCGCTCCAGATCTGGGACAAGAAGGTGAGGCGGCGGTGGGGCCGGGGGAGCAGCGGGACCGCTCGCCTCAGCCTCCTGGGGCAGGCCCGGGGCTGCGCGGAGCTGCCGGCGAGGCGAGGCGAGACGAGGGGCCGCGGCCCACCGGGAAGCAGCCGGTGTGGCCCGGGCTCCCGTGGGGCCGCTCTGGGCGGGTTGCCGGGGCCTGAGCCGCCCGAGCCAGGTTACCGGCAACCCCCCGGGGAGGACGGGGGTCTTTTTTGGAGGGGAATGTGTTATTGTGAAAGTATCTTTTTTTTCCGCCTTTGCCGAGCAGAAGAGCCCCGCTAGGGGAGCGGGCCGGGCCTGTGTCAGGAATGCAGCACTACAAGAGGCTAGAAAAAAAATGTTAAATGCTGGAAATAGGCAGCAGAAAACAAAACGACCCTTCGCCACGTATGGTGGCTTCCCCCCAGTACCTGATGTAACTGAGATGGGGGTCTTCTGTCATATGTGACCCGTTTTTTAAACAGGCTTGCGACAGGTGTTTAAAGGTAGGCTGTGTGGCGGCCTTAGGATGTACAAGAAGTCATGAGTGTTTCATCTGTTTGTTTTTCCATTGTATCCGTTTCTAGAGTGGTTCTGTGAGGCTCCCCTGCCTTCTCCCCAGTATCTCGCATCAGGGAGCCCGTGTCAGGAAATTTGTGGGTGTTGAGACCTGCTGCTTCTTCTTCTTCACAAACCCTCTCCTCTCTGAAGTTACAACATGTATTCAGTTACTTGTGCTTGAACCTAATTTGAATTTCTTGTGCTTTTGGCAGGAATGAAAGCCTTCAAGGCAGACAGCAGACAGCGGTGTTGTTTGACCTCAGTGGGCTCGCATGGGCATTTACAAGTTGTGGGATGGGTGACAGGCAGCGCAGACCCATCCTGTTTGCTGTCAGTGGGGTACCCATGTAGCTCTGTGAAGAACTGGGTTGCGTCACATAGCCTGGCTCTGTGCATGTGCCTGCATTAGGGCTTTTGCACAAATATTTGTGACTTTAAAAAAGGATCAGCAGCTTATCTGGATGGTGTGAGGATGGGGTGCGTTAAAGACTCTTAGGCAAAGGGATGTAGCATGCCTCCAGACTGGATAAAGCCATGAGCGATCTGGGCTGACCCTGCTTGGTGGTGGAGCTTGGACTGGAGACCTCCTGAGGCATCTTCCAATGTGAATTGTCCTGTGCAGGGACCATTGCGACTGTGCAGCTTGTGGGGTGGCCAGCAGGAAGTCTGCTTGCAGGGTGGACGTAAGCAGTGGTCCATTCGGGTGCAATAGTCACTGGATTGGCCAGAAAAGACTGATGAAAAATTAGCACTGCTGTTCCCAAGAACAGCAGCTGGGTGTGCAGGCTGTTTCCATCACCTGCTGTAGGGCTTGCATGAGCTACATGGGCTCATGTAGCACTGCCCAGTGGCAGCAGCCCTGCATCCTTGGGAGCAGTGAGGCTGCATGCAGGCAGACTTAGAGGTCTGCCTATCCTGAGGAAGCACGGCCAGCTTGGGCGAGCTTGTTGTGAGGATTGCCCTGCTCACAAAGGTGTGGCATGAAACCAGAGTGGGTTTTCTGACTTCTTTGCCTGTGGATATCAGTGTGGCTCACTCTTTCACCTCACTTTTCCATTTAAAAGGAGTTGGGTTGGTGGGTTCGTAATGGTTTCGGCATTCCTGACCTGACACCCTTGGTGTGTTTGCAGCAGCAGGAGGTGAAGGGCAGCACTTAGGGCATCTTGCTGCCTTGGAACTGAGAAAGCGGAGTCCCTCAGGTCTTTACAGCATGTGGTGTCATCTCCCCTGCTCAGCCCCTTCAGAAAATCCTGCTGGTGGTGCAAAGACTGTGTGAACGTACAGCATGGGGAGTGCTACTGATGGTTTGGGTGCTGATGGCCTGCTGCAGACAGGGAGCTGGGTGCTAAGTTGCTGATGAAGCCTCTCTGGCTTGATGGAGGAACCTGCCAGGCTGGCAGCAGAGGGGCAGGCTGGTGTTCATGAAGTGAGTAAATGTCCAGAAATGGTGAGGGATTTTTCCAGTGGGCTTATTTATTTATTTATTGGAAAATACTGATCTGTCCAAGCCCAGACATCCCAGGAATGGTCCAGCTATGGCAACGCCACAGGAGAGTGTTAGGGTTGGAGTTTCTGGAAAGGGGGAAAGCAACCAAAACTTTGCAATAAGTGTTAACTGCTCTGTTCAGGGGTGCATGAAATGACCTGTAGTTTTGGTGAGAATTGGAAACAAGGGATTTGATGTTCTTGCACGTCCTAGGTGCGAGACTCTCTTTGCAAAAAGTACCAGCAGACAGTGATTTTTTTTTTTTTTAATTTTTTTTTTTAAATCTTGGGGAATTTCAAGCTTTTGTGACATGGGGAAAACCATTTCTTGTTCAGCCCTAGTAGGATGTGTGCTGCTTGTGCTGATGGAGACAGTGTGAAGTAGAGGCGTCTTCATTTGATATAGGTGTAGAAATGGGGTACAGGAAGCCTTTCCTTGTTGTGAGCGTGTGTAACCTCCCTCTAAGTAGTAGGATACAGTCCCTCCCTTCTCTCCCTTCTCCCTCAGGGGCTGTGGGTAAGCTGTGGGCAGGCCTTGGTAGCAAACCCTGCCAAGCCCAATCTGTCGTGGCCACCAGCATCCTGTCCCAGGGGACTTGGTAGGACTGAAGTGTCCAGGCCTTGGGAAGAGCATGGTGACTGTCCCACCGTCCCTGCAGGCAGAGGTTCCTCCTTCAGCCTCATCTGCAGAGAGCCAGTAACTGTTGGGGTGTGCTCTTTTCTCCTGCCTTCCAGCGCTGCATGTTCCTGGTTTGGAGTTGGAGACCTGTTTTCAAGGTGTCTTCTGTTTGCCTTCCAGCACTTTGTTGTTCTGAGTACTCTGTTTATTCCTGCAGCATCCTGCCACCATGGTCCCCACCCTGACATGTGGAGATACACTGACTGGTCTCCAGGGGACTCGCTGACACTTTTCTGCAGAGCAAATGGGAACGGTTCAATGAAACTTGTCAAACCTATCCATCCTCTTGCTAATTTCTCCATACTCCTTCTGCTGGCACGTCAACACAGAATATCGTTAGCAATTTCAAGTGCTGTTGGGAGGAGGCAAGGTCAGCTAGCTTTCAATACTCGTCTGAATGTCAAATGCATGCTCTGCCACCAGAATGTAGGTAGCAGTTTCCCTGATGAGCACAGCCAGGATCAAGCCCCTGCCAACGCTGTGGTGGGGTTCTCTCTTTGCAGCCCTTCTCTGACTCGTTAGTTCTTTTGCACAGTATCTTTGTCTGGGTTGCTCCAGACCTCTGCATCTCAAATACAGCAGACCATGCTGCTCACTCCTCCTTGCCAAACCTGTGTGCACCAGGCGCTACAGCAGAGCGATGCAGCTCCTGCTTTTGCCTCTTGTTTTGCCCCCTCTCCCTTCCTGGGGGAGGGAGGTGGCACAGGGGCCTGTTCTGGACCCACCGCTGACTTTGAGAAGCGCTGGCCTGTCTCGAGGCGAGTGCGTACCCATGCCTACGGTAGTCTGGGCAATGGTGCCAGCCGTGTTTCAGCTTGCTGTTGCTGGCACAAGCCCATCGCCTAACGAAGGGGTGTCCGGCAACGATGCGGGAGCGAGCCTCCAGAGGTCGGCCTCAGACCGTGGCAACCCATCCGCTGATGGGTGGGTGGCTGGGCCTGGGGAGGATTGCTCCTTGCTGCTTTTCCTCGGGTCTTATATCTGTTCAGACACAACTGTCTGTGAAGGTGCTGTTCCCTCCAAACCTTGCAAGGTTTGAGGTTTGTATCTGCAAAAAAACCTTTTCCAGTTTGTTTTTAGACAGCAGGTAACTTCCCAGTTATCCTGATTCAGAGGATATTAGGCATTTGAAGAACTTTTATTTTCTAAGAGGGCTATTAGCCTTTTTTCCAGCTTCAAAAATCCACCTTCTTAGGCTTAAGATGTCTGGAAAATATTGGCCAAGTACCAATGTGGAGTGTTTTGTTTAGATTTCTAAAATTTTCTGAAATCTTATCTTTCTGAGCTTCTATGTAGTAGGGGAAGGCCCCTGAAGACTGGGAGCTCTTGCTGAGTAGCCACTGCAAGCACAGCAGAACCATCCTTACCGCCCTGTGCCACACAGAGCTGGTGTCTGTGCCTGATGGAGCCAGAGTTTGCCTCTTGGTCTGTATGAGCTTGTTGTGAAGGGGGTCCCAGAGCTGGCAGGGGAAGAGAAGTGCTCCTTGGGCTGTGACCAAAATGTGTCCTCCATCAGGGAGGTGGTCCTTGAGGCAGGCAGGAGGCGAGCTCAGCCTCCATTGGGGAGCCAGGCTCTGGAGTGAGCCGAGGAGCTGAGATGGGGCATACAGCACCACCGAGTCCCGGAGGGCAGCGCTTTGAGCCCCCATTGGCAGTGAGCTCTTCTGATACTATTCAGCCTTATCTTACTGAAATGGTGAGGCTGCTTGGACTTCTGATCCAGCCGGTGCTGGATGTCATGCTCCAACTGTCTGTGTGTCTGTCCTGCCAGCGCTGGCTTCAGGCATGTGCAGACAGGCTGGCTTTTGTGTGGAAGGGTGCCTGCATGACCTGGCTACCGTCTCCCTGCAGCTGGGTGGTAGTGCAGCTCGCAAAAACTTACACCAAGCTAGGTAGGACTGGGAGGAAGGGCTCTGCTGCAGTCTGGCCCTGTTTTGTACTGATCTACTTGTCTCTTTTTCTACTGTCTTTCATCCTGTTTCTGGCAACGCTGAGGAAGAAGAGTTGCTTCTTTTCATTGTCCCTGTAATCTGGGGAAGGAAAGCCTTCACAGGCTAAGGAAGGGGACCTGGTTGCAGATAGAAACACTGCTGACTAATTGGTTTAAAGCATGTTTAGCTGTTTTCTCTGTTACTGTCCTCGCCAGAGAAGCCCAAACCTGAACCTTCTCCCCTCTGTGGAGCCATAAGCTACCCTTGGTGAAAGCTGTCTCGCGTGGCATGGAGGCAGGCTTTATTGTGCACTACTGTCACCTGCATAGGCGGGGTTATTTCCTGGTGTTAAGTCTGCATGCTGTATCCCTGTGGCTTCCAGGGTTTAATTTCCCATATGCCAATCACTGCTTCAAACAGAGAGGCACATGGGGTTTCTGCTGGGCTGGTGATTTAAAAAAAAAAAAAAAAGATAAAGGCAACTTATCCAGACCTCGTGCAGTTGGTTTCTCCTGAACAGACCTATACATCCATGGGAGTTGCATTTGATGCAAAGGAGAGATACAGTTATCCTGTAAGGATCCTCTCTCTGAGCTTAATGTTTTCTAGAAGTATCTGTGCAGGCTTGAAGCAAAGTTAAGAGCAGCCTGACAGGGCGAGCTGTGCTCTTGTGCTTATCAGCAGCAGCTGGGTGATCCAGGCTGAGGTTTTGTGAAACTGCTTAGCGTAGAGACAGACCAGGGGGGTGGGCTGCTCACAGGGCTTATCTCTTTCTTCCAGCAATTATACGCAGCATCACCCAGGTAGGTCCCTCTGAAGAAATGAACTTTGAAGATGAATTGCTAAACCTGTAAATCATTTTGTAGCTCATGACTGGAACCATCCCGTTAAAAGCTTAATGTATCCTATATATTAGCAGTGGTGATAGGCGCTAAAATAATTTATTCATGGAGCCGGAAGGAGCGTTACAATTTGCTGATCTAGCATTGGGGAAGAGCAGAGGGTTTAATTAGCAAATGTGCCTTTTAAATGGAGATAAATTTGATGGGAAGTGAACTGCTTCATTAAAAAAATAAATCCTCAGATCCTGGGATTCAGCCATGTTGCATGTGGAGAAAAATGAATTTGTGTTGGCTTCTGGTTCCGGCCCTGGCCTCCCTGAGCTCTGTGGGGAGCTGGCTGCATCCAAGTAGCCAAATCCCTAAGCCCCTCAGCAGAGCAGATGATGGCTCTGCACTTGCGTACGCTGCAATTACGAATAATTTTAACCAAGTTTTTCCACAGAGGCAGTCAGCCATGCCCAGCAGTAGAGACTGAGACCCCTTGATGACCAGTGGCTGGCTGGTGGCTCCCTTTGCTTGCCCCTGTATTGCTCCTACTTGTTCTTACCCTTTATCCCACTCTATTTTGATCTTGCTCTGACACTTCTCTGTTTGTTTATTTGGGCCTCTAACGTGAGACTTGAGTCAGTTTTGTTCACTGTAGCATATTTTGATTTATTAAAGTCTTGTACTCGGTGTCTGTGCAGCATGCTGGGCCATAAACTCTTGCTTGGAGTCCTGGCACTCTGGGGTGGTGATCAAAGCCTTGGAAACAGCGATGTCCAGGACAAAAGGAGCCAAATGAACGTAGATGGGTCCCCCGGGATCTTTTTCCCCCTCTCAATGGAGCTGTGGGCGCCTCTTGTTTCCCTCTTGGGTAACATCTGTGCTGTCTGCCCCACTTTTCTTCCAGGTGCGCAATGGCCACATCAAGCGAATCACTGACAATGACATTCAGTCGCTGGTGCTGGAGATTGAAGGAACTAATGTCAGGTAGGAGAAGGCATTTTCGTCTGCCCTAGTGTGCCTTGGGGGCTTGGCCCTGGCGCAGAGTGAAAGATTTCAGTGCCCAGCAGACATCTCCTTCAGACTCTACTGCAATCTCTTTGTCAGTAAATTGAAGAATATGATCTTGGGTCAGATCACTGATACCCCTCTGTGGCACTGTACCGTGCCTTTCCCTGGATGTGCTTGTAGAGCTCTCTGTCATCCTCAGTGGGACTAAGGGATAAAAAATGGAAATAAAGTCCCATTATTTTTCCATCACTTAGGGGAAAAAAAGCTATATTTGATACCTGGTCTCCAGTCAGTGCTGCCAATTACTGAGAAAGCCGCCAGTTACTGAGAAAGCAGCATTCTGTCTTCTGCATCTTTTATTGTCTTAGGCCTGCTCTGCTGCTCTCCCAACAGCAGGAAGATCAAAGGGAGATTTATGAGGGGAGTCGCTTATGGTGCTTCACTTAGCAACCTTGTCTCTATCGACCAGGGAGAGAGACGCCAGCTCCATGAGCAAGTTCAGAGTCTCCAAGGCTTCTCCAGGGGTGATTCAGAGCAGGGCGCTCCTTATAAGGGCAGCGGAGACTCCTCTCCTGCAGACAGACTGAGCCAACACTTCTTTTCCTCCCAAGATGTGTTGATACAGAACTTGCCAGGCGTGACGTGTAGTTCTAGGGTTCATGACCTCTGTTTTCCCAGCCATATAGAGCACAGAGGGCCTCTGCTGTGCTCTGGAGGGCTCTACCTATTCAGTCAAGGGTAGGAAGAGGTTGTGTTAAGAAACAGCACTGATGTGGCCTTGAAACTGGGGAGGTGAAGCTGTCTAGGAAGGTGTTTCATGCCCTGGGTGAGAAAAGTGGGATTTGAAATGCATTCTTTGGGCCTTTTATCTTGTTATCCCTGCAGCTACCTCTGAAACTCTCACTCCTGTTACAGGAAGCCCTGGCTGTTGCTGAGATCTTACAATCTTGGCAATCTTTTTCTGCCTGTCCTCCAAGACTGTGTTAGGTTAAGAGAGAGACTTGGGACTCGGGCTGTGTGCTTTGTGCTGTGTGAGATCCTAAAGCGTTTTTCTGTCCCTCTCAGTACCACATACATCACGTGCCCTGCTGACCCAAAGAAGACCCTGGGCATCAAACTACCTTTCCTGGTGATGATCATCAAGAACCTGAAGAAATACTTCACTTTTGAAGTGCAGGTGAGGAGCGTGTAGCGGGGAGGCCCCTTCAGCAACCAGTGAGCCTGCAGTCTTCTGTTGGAACTTGTCCCAGACAGCAAGTGGTCCCCAAAACAGTTTTGCTTTCTTGGCTATGTGATGTGTCAGGTCTTCTGCTAGGGGGGCATCAGTTGCTATTCCTGAAAATGGGTCTGTTTCCTTTGTTAAAAATACTTGTGCTGTGAAACGGAGGGGTGGGAGTAGGAGAGCCCTCTCTGAGACGGGTAGAGCCTGAGTCTAGAACAGCTGCTGTCTTGGGGAGCTGGGGGCCCCCTGATGCCTGGGTCAGCAGCCTTCCTTCCTTACCCAGGTGCTGGATGATAAGAATGTACGGCGCCGTTTCCGGGCGAGCAACTACCAGAGCACGACTCGGGTGAAGCCTTTCATCTGCACCATGCCCATGCGGCTGGACGATGGCTGGAACCAAATCCAGTTCAACCTGTCAGACTTCACACGCCGGGCTTACGGGACAAATTACATTGAGACCCTGAGAGTTCAGGTGAGAAGCAGGCATGTCCTACCCACAGAAACCAATGGTTGGTGATCTTCCTGCTGGCTGGGACAGCCTTGCTGTAGATCGGGAATCCAGGTTTAGCCCTGACTTGTTCCTTTGCCAGTCCTGCTCTTTGCAGAGCACTATGGGACGGGAGTGAAGGTCCGACTGAGGCAGCAGAGGTCTTGGTACTGCCTCACTTCACTGGACTAGACTGAGATGAAGGAGCCCATTTCCATCTTGTTTCTCTTGCTGGCTGTCAGTTAGGGTAAGAGTTGCAGTCCACCTAAAGTTCCCTACAGCATGCCACACATCCTGCTAGGGGGAGGTCTGCTGGGAGTTAGCCATGTGCAGCCTTGCTGTGCAGACATGCCAGACAGCGACTGGCCAAGTGGGAGCCTGGCTGGTAAAGACCCCAGGTGTTATGGTCCATACATATTCCCAGTTGAGCTTGTTTCCTAGTGCGCGTGGAGTGACCCTGCCTTCACCGAGCTCCTTGGACCAGAGCTGACACAGTGTTTCTGCTGAGGATGTGAAACTTGTTCCATATGCTAGGGATTCATGTTCATTGTGTCCAATGGCATATGTTATTTTGAGGAATGCCTGTGTGTGGAGCATGCCTGTTCCGTAGTATGATGGGACTGCTGCAGTTCCTTGTTAGGTTGCCTTGAGATGAACAGGCAGCCAACTGGGAAATGTCTGCCTTCTCACATAGCTGTGAGGGGGACTGGAGCGACTCCTTTGCTGCCAGCTGATAGTGGAGGCAGCGCAGACTGGTCAGTCTCATTCCTGACCTCAGGGAGGCCCTGAAAAGGAAGTGTTAAAAATGCAGCAAGCTAAGGCTGAGAGTGTTCCGGCAAATGCTGATACCAGTGGAGAGGCAGAGGTGGGTTCACAGCAAAGAACCCTCTAAGCAACTAAGGCAGATCTCAATTTGCAGAGATGCCAGAGCTCGGCCAAATCTCTTGAGCCAGCTTGCATCACTGGAGAGAGCATCTAATGCAAAACAGAGGGCATAGGCCAATGTTTCTGCTCTGATGCCCTGTCAGATTCAGAGAGGCAGTGAGGTCTCTTCTCCAGCTGCTAAGCCAAGGAATCCAGGCTGCTGCATGACAGCGAAGCTGGATGTAGAAAGAGTATATGGAAAATGGACTGACTCGTTGTTTTGACTCTCAGATCCACGCCAATTGTCGCATTCGACGGGTGTACTTCTCTGACCGTCTCTACTCAGAGGATGAGCTCCCAGCTGAGTTCAAGCTGTATCTGCCTGTCCAGAACAAGGCCAAGGTGAGGTAGCCATGGGCAAGGAGGGTGGGAGCAGCAGCTGGGCCAGGCTAGCATTCCTCTTCCCTCTCCCGCTGCCTTCACAATCCAGAGTTTCTTCTAGCAGCAGAGCTCTTACAGCTTTGGCTGTCAGCCAGGGAGCACCCTCACTGTTGCCAGGGTGAGCAGTCTGTCAGGGGTGCCTTGCTGAGTGGCTTTCCTGCCAGAACACATGGAAGTTGTCATTCCCATCTAGGAGCAGGGTGAGCTGTGCAGCTGCTCTGCACGTCCTTCCTGTTCGTGTTGAAGGACTCTGGGCAGGTTGGCAGCCTCCCGGCATCTCTCCGGAGCTTTCACCCATGACTCAGTGCAGTGGCTTTGCTCTTCAGAGCTAGCTGCAGCTCCACACTTGTCTTCCAGGAGAGATGCTGTTTGTGTCCCTCTAATCCAAATCTGCTCCCCTCTGATCTCTTCCCTGCCCAGTGCAGACAGTGGTGCTATGAGGTGGGAAGGGGATAGGCAAGGTTGTGGCTGCCCAGCAAGAGATGCCAAGCTCTGCTCTTATGGTGATGGGAGAGGAGTCCCTGGCATATTGGCAGCAGTCTTGAGGCTTGTGAGGAAGCACTTTCTTTGCCAGGGCCAGCCTGTCCCAGTGCAGATGCTTCTTTTAGCAGAGAAGATTCCTGGGCAAAATTTCAAGGAGCTGAGGGAGGATTTTGGGTGCTGATCTTAGTGGGAGGTAGAAGGCAGTGTTTACAGTAGGTAACTCCTCTGAGGAACCTGTCACTGCCTTCTGGGCTGTAGCAGCCTCCCAAGAATGCCTGGGGAATGCTTGGAGACCTCCCAATACAGTTGTCTTGGTGTTGCTGAGTCTAATAAGTGTCTTCTTTCTTCTCCCTGCTCTGTCCAGCAATAACACCACGTTGGGAAGAGATGTGAGAAATGTTTGGGGTCAGTAGGAAAATGAAAGCAGGTGGAAGAGAAGGCCCTGCTGAGACCAAGTTTTAGATCAGTTGACCTTGCCTAGGGTAACTTTGATTCATCTGGTATCCCTCTTCTGGACAGGACACAATTAACCATGTAACAGGTCTGGGACTATGCTGTTGGTGTGCGAGTTGTACAGAATCAGAGTTCTCCTAGCTGTTCCTAAAGTGCTGAGCCTAAACACTGCAAGTGGCCTGGTACCTGATCTTTTGTTGCACAGAGGCATTGCTCAAAATGGCCACTGTGCCTCTGAAGAGGGGATTCAGCAGGAATTACGGGGTTAAGTGTGCCCTCTTGAAGATACCAATTTTATTTTTTCTTTCCTTGTTTTCCATCTCTTATTTTATATATGCTCTAAATATGGATGTAATACTCTTGGAAAGTCATTAAACATTTGACTCTCTAAGTCTGCTTCTGACTTTTTCCTCCTTTGATGGATCTTTTAACTTGCATGTGTTAGCACTTCAGAAAGTGCTGAAGAATTTCTTTAGGAACCCAGATGTTAGAATTTGCCTCTGAATTTGACTTTTATTGGCAGCCTCACTGTTTAAGGGATGGCACAGACGTGGACAACAGCAATCTGGAGAGAGGAAAAATAGTAGGGTTTCCACAGAAGAGACAGGATCTGTCTCCAGTCCATGAGGTTTCTGGTACTCTACCTATGACAAAAACTCACGCTGTTCACGTTTAGTACATGGAAATGGGTTTGTCATTCCCTTCTTCCTTGAAGCCATTTTCCCAGCAGTGACAAATTGGTCTTACCAGCCTGTTGAGGCACAGATCTGTTCGCTGTGTAGTTAAACAACTCACTCCAGCTCTCAACCAAGCCTTTAGCAGCTACTTATAGCAAGAGGCACACAATAGTCTTCCAGCTGCCAAATTGTCCCTTTCCCCAGGGATCAAAGGGGAGGTTTAGCAAAGCAGCATAACAGGAGCGGAAGTCTTTTCCTGTTCTGAAGCTGCCCTTCCCTGCCTCAAACCAATCTGCCTTTGTTGTGGAAGGGCTTGCGGAGGGGAGGCTGCAGACCTCCACTGGTAACGGAGAGCCTGGGAGTAGCTGATGCCTTTCCTCTTTGGGGCCAGACCCCCCACAGCTACTCTGGTGGGTAGGTGCTTAATGCAGGTACTGATTTGTCCCTGGTGTTGGGCTGTGCAGTGAATTGGGAAGACTTCACTTTCATTATTGTCCTGTCAAACAAAGCTAGTCTCTCGCAGGAGGAGGAGAGCCTGTTGGGGGACATCTGCCCCAGACTCTGGGTTTAATACTGACCACTGACTCTCCACCTGGTTTAAAGGTTTGGCATGTCTGTGCACCCTCATGGTCAGCAGCTCCTCTGTATAGATCCTACTTTACCTCTGTGGCAAGCTCTCAGGGCACCTATAACGCAGCTGCCTTTTTTGCACCTTTAAAGCTAGTGGGCTTTGAACTGGAGGTGCTGACCCCGTGGTGCCACGTGGTGCTGGATGGCACTTGCAGAAGACTTTCTGGAGAAGACCTTTCCAATTTTTATAGCAGCTGAATAGCTTGGTAGCTCTAAGGAGCCAAGCCAAGGAAGCTCACATGGGAAGGCACTATCCATATTGCTTTGACATCTGTCAAGGCTTGGCTGGACTTGAGATTTGTTAAGTGGAATCGCACTGTATCATGTGCCAAGGATCGCCCTTAATGAAGTCCACGGTGAGGCTTTCCTGCCATGTTTTCAAAGCTTGCCAGGGCTGGGGGAGCTGCTGAGGGAAGCCATCAGACCCCGGCAGGGTAAAGCGTGCATCCTTTCCCGCAAGCCCTGGCTCATGAACATGTGTTTTTGGCAGTTGTTGGCAGGTGAGCACTCGCTAGGAGCTGCTGCGCCTTTCCCTGCCCCACTGTGGCCCATGCTGGAGTCAGCCCTTGTCCTCGAGGAGTTGGGCTTGCTCTGAGTGAGTGACCTTAATGTGTTAAGAGGGGCTGGGCTCCCCAGGGCCCCGAGCTGGCTGCCTCTGTGGAGAGATTAGATGGGCCTTGCTGCCAATTCCTGCCCGACCTCTAGGAGCTGTGCCAGCGGATTTGCTGGAATAAACTCCCAGCCGCTAACTCTTACATCCATGTGGACCCTCTGTGTATTTTTTAATATGAAACAAAATACTGAATCTTCCTGTTTACATGCCTCACAAAGTGGAGCATCCTCAGATACTGGCCCTTTCCTTTAGGGCCAGGCAGTGGTGGATTTACATGGTGTTCTTCAAAAATCTTCTAATCCCCCTCTCCCATCAAAACTTTAACCATCTTGCTGAAGGTGAGTGAAGTTTGGATGCTCTCCCTGCAGGAGAAGAGGATGCTTCTGGTGGATAGGCCAAAATGGCACAGGCATCCTGTCAGCAGTTGTTTCCTAGAGTAAACATGCACCAGCAAAACTCCTGCAATGAAGCGCCCAGCTTCTTACTGCTTTGGTTATGACTCTTGACCTGGCTGGGACACAACGTCCTACATGGAAAGAGTGGAGGAAGGCAGGAAGGACATGGATGCAGAGACGGGAGTCTGCCCTGAGGATGGCTACCGCCTGCATGCTCCTGGGGCAGCCCCAGCTTGGTATGAGGGGTGAGCAGAGGGGGAGTCCTGGTTCAGTGCAGGCAGCCTGTGGAGAAAACATCTCCTTGTTCACCTTTCTGTGGGTGGCCTGCTCCTTCCTTCCTGCTAAGTCCTTATTGCAGTTCATGTCTAGTGGGGAAGAAAGGAATCTTTCTTCATAGGGAGCCCTGGATTCAACCCAGGGCAGAGCATGGCCTGCCCAAAGATGAGTTTTCCTTGCCTCCCCTGGCTTTTCACCTTCCTCTTCCATTGGCTGTGGCAAGGTCCGCCACTTGGGCACTTTGATCGGGACCTGAGTGCTGGGAGCCAGCTTTCTACATCAAAGGCAAAGCTTCCCTTTGAAATCTCGGCTGCTGAAGGATGGTGAGTGCACGGGCTGCAGCACCTCAGGGCAAGGGACGGGAGAGTGATCCTTCCCGGGTTGAGTCAGGGAGCAGGCATGCTCAGATGAAGCTGGAGCAGCTGGCAGTCACCATGTGGCGTGAGCCAAGGCTGGGACATCCCTCGGCTCCGGTGGCTCTGCCTGGGGCAGGTGGCAGCAGCTGACAGGGGAAGCAGACGATGGGGTTTTCCTGGAAAGCTTTCTGTCCATTTGCTCTGCTGCTGGGGGAGAAGCAGCCTGGGTGAGAGTCTGGCCCAGTGGAGTGGCAGGACACTGGTATGGGCTTCTGTCCCTGCCTGTGGCTTTCCCCTTACTCTTTGTCTCCTTCCTATTAAGTGGATCCTGACACAAAGCACATAGCTCTGATCACAGAGGTGATATGCAGGAATCAAAAAAATCCATGCTAAACTGCTCCTTGCCCTCTCTGCCTCCTGTTCAGCATCTCCCTGGATGTCTTGGGCCAAATGTTGTTGTCTCTGTAGAGGGATTACACCTCCAGGGCGACGCTAATCCTCTGCAGCTGCTTTCTAGCATGGGGCGGGCGGCGCTGGAGGCGAGGGAAATATTTATTTTGAGTTTTGCCATTGGCCACTGCCCAGGAAAAATGAGTGACCGTACTGGGGACTTTGGCCACCTCTGCACACAGGGAGAGCTGATCTTCCTGCTGCGCTGGTGCCTGCGGGAGAGGGGTGATAGCTTCCCCTGGCAGGCTGCAGAATGGGACCACCCAGGCAAGATTTTATTTGGATGAGGGAGTGGCTGTGTGCTCTGAGAGCTACCCTGGGGTGTGATGGGGAAAGCCTCCGAGCCACTAGAGGTGAGAAGATGATGGATGCTAAGTTGTGCTGAAGCAGACCTGCAGACTGTCTGCTCCACCGTCACCTCGTGCATTGCCCCTGCAGCCCCAGAAATTACTTGCCTCCCTGTGAGACGAAGGGTCAGGCACCATGGGGAACGAAGCTGGTGGCTGCGGGGTGGGCGTGAGGGGAGGTGACGGGCATGAGGCGTACACGTGTGCCGAGCTCAGTGCAGCCGGCAAGTGCATCCCACCCACAGCAGGGCTGTGCTGGCACTGACCCCCTGGCCAGGCAGCACCTGGAGCCTTGCTCTCGCCTGCAGCATGCACAGGCAGCGGGTTCAACCCCTCCTAGGGCCCCATGGCTCTCCTCTCTGTCCCCAGCATCGTTTCCTCCGGCCTTGAGGCCGGCCAGTTGCTGCTCAGTGTGTCCCGGCCCCAGTTCTTCCTCTGCGCCGAGCCCGGCTTCCTCTCTGTTTTCTGAGTCTTCTCAGCGGTGCATAGGGGATCGTACCGGGGCTTGCAGAGGAAGAGGAGGTGGTGGGAGGGAGCACAGTTTCTCCTGTGATGGTGCCAAGCGGGCAGAGGGAGCCCCTGCCAGCCCTGGTCACCCCCATCACAGCGGCCACTCCTGCAGCAGGCTAGCTCAGCAGGCCCTGGAGGACACTGAGCTCCTGGGGTCTTTTCCAGGTCGGGCTTCTCCAGCCTGTTTTGGGGAAGCTGAGAGCTGCCTGGTGGGGGTGTATCCTGGCAGGGCTGCCTGGTGCCTGCCAGGGCCAGGCTGAGCAGGACTCGTGCTCCCTTGAGCCACCAAAAGCCCTGGCCTGTGCAGCAGGTACATCCCTGCCCTCCCCAGGGTCTTGCGTCTGTGGGTGGCCGGAGGCGAGCCAACCCCATTGCTGGTATGGAGGGCAAAGCAGCAGCCTCCAGCGAAGAGCCCAGGCCCTGCTGAAATGCTGGGCTTTGTCTCCGGCGGGGTCCCTCACTGCTGTCCATGAGTGTTTCCAGATGGCCCCGGGCTCCTGCCACCAGCTCCACTGCAGCATCCGGGGAAAAGCAGGAGGGGGGGTGGGAAGTGAAGTCTCAGCTCACCGAACATGGGCAGCCTGGGCCTCTGCTCCCAGCGCCACCGATTCCCCCTGAGGAATTGCTCCCAGATCCTGTCCCACCCTGAATCAGCAAGGAGCTCCCTCGCCTGCCGTGGCAGTGGTGCCCAGGGAAGGGGATGCCACGAGCATCTGGCCCTGGGCATCCTTGGCCGGCTCAGCTGGCTTTCCCTGTGAGCCAGGCATCTCTCCAGGTACCAGGCTTCAGGGTCCCCACTCCTGCTTCCCACCAAGCCCTCAGCACCCCTGGGAAAGAGGGGAAACACAGCTGCCGTGGGAAATAAATCTGTTGTCGGAAATGCATCTGCCGTGGGAAATGCATCTGCACCCGCCTCTGGAGCTGCCTTTGCGGGGGCAGGGAGCGGCAAATCCCAGCCATGCTTTCCTCCTGCGTTGCCTTTTGGTCAGGTTCATGCCTTTTGGTAGCTCCCAGTGCCTGTTTGGCCCCAGTTCAGGGCAGGCTGGGGTGCTGGGTGGCCCCATGGCAGGGCTCCCGGTCCAGCAGAGCTGTGGGTCCTCCCACGGCTCTGGGGAGGACCCCCACAAGCACAAATCTGGCCAGAATGGCAAAAACCGAATTGAAAGGAGTTAAAAGCCAAGGAATGTGACCCAGCACAGCCTGGCTGATGGAGGACTGGAGCCACTTGGAGACCTTTTTTCCCCCCCCAATTCTTCAGGGTTTTTCTGACCCCGATTTTGGCTTCTCGCTTGGCTGCAGTGATGTGCTGAGTCTGAGCCAAGCGTGTTTCCCAGGGAATCAGCTAATGGCTGGGAATCACTGCCCAGTGTGGGCAAGGATGGAGGGGAGGGTGACCCAGGCCATGGGATTCCCCCCACAGTGCCAGCAGCCCCGGGAAAGCAGGGCAAGAGCCAGCATCGGTCCTTCCCTTTTAAAGTAATTAGTGGCTGATGAGTGGTGCTGCAGTGCGGGGTAATTTAGTGCTGGGAAGTGGCTGCAGCTGAGTCTTGGGCACTGAGCCAGCGGCTCTGGGTCCTGGGAGGGGGAAGGATGGGGGGGTGGGACACAAAGGCTTCACCCCTACCCATGAAGGGGGGGTTCCCTCCTGCAAGGGCTGGCAGGGTGGGGACAAGGGCAGAGGGACAGCTGGAGCCCCAAGGAGGGGGGAGCAGGTCGGGGATGGGTTAATGCTCCCTGCACCAAGCCCTGTGTCAGAGCTGCCAGCCCCGTGGGGAAAGAGGCAGGGCATGGGTGCTGTCTGGGTACTGGTCTCATGAGTCCAGTCCCATAGGGAGACCCCCCCCCCAACTCCATAGGGTCATCCCCACAGGGATGGGCCAGACCCACACAACCCCCCGCCTGGTGCGGCCTGCCTCCCCACCAGTGTATTAACTGTGCCAGGCCTCTGCCACCCGCCTCGAGGCTGCCCCTGCGGCTCCAGAGCAAACCCAGCCCCTGCTCGCCACCCTGGTGGTGCCTTTGCAGGAAAGGCAGGGAAGCTGCTATCGCAATCGCCGCCGCATGCTGCGTCTGCCGCCTGCTGTGGTTTGGTTTTCCTTCCCATTAAAGGCTGAGCAACATTTTTCCCTGGATAAAGCCAATTTCCTACCCCCCCCAGGTCTAATCTTTCCCACTCCCACAATTATTTCTCCCTGATCTCTGCAGCGGTTGTGACTCCTCCTGCTTTCCTCTGCCAAGACAGCAGCGGTGAGACAGGATACGGACACCCCCTTCCCCCCAGGAAACACGCCAGGGCCGTGTGGGGATAGGGAGCCGAAGCACCCGGTAAACCGGCTGCAGGAGGGACCACGCACCGTCCCCCGGCTGCCGCAGCCGACGGCCCCTGGCCGGGAAGGGAGGTGGCCGCCCAGGGCTAGAGTGCAGTGTCGGCCGGGGAAGAACAAGGCGCACTGTGTTCCTGGCAAGGCCATCGCCGCTGCCGTGGGAGCTGGTGAAAGGCAGCTCTGTCCGCTGCCGGCGGGGTGGGAGCTGGGCTGCTTTTGCTGACCCCCCCCCCCCCCCCCCCCAAAAATGGTAGCCCCAGGGCAGGGGCTGCTGCACGGACATCGCCAGCCATGCTAGCCCCTGCCCCACATCCCCTGGCAGAGCACCCAGGCCCCGTGGCTGCCAGACAGGTGGCACCCCCCGCCAACCCTCCATTACCACAAAATCTGCCAAACCTCGTGCGGGGGAGCCCGTGCGCCTCCTGCCCCCATCCCGCAGCAGAAAGGATGGCACCACGGCTCTCCACGCACCCGACCCGTTTAATACATGTACAAGGCGGCCATGCCCACTGCCCTGCCCCTGGGACCATGTGTCCCCACGACTTCGCCCCACGGTGGCAGCAGGCTCCGGGCTGAGCTGAGCCCATGGCAGGGATGCAAAGGTGGTGTCTCTCCTCCTCATGCTATCTTCAGGCACCACATCCCTGTACCCCCACAGTTCAACACGATACACAGCTGTGAGCTCGGCCCTCCTTTCCTCTCACGCTTCCCTGCCGTTGCAGGTGGCAGCAGCTGAGACCTGCCAGCTCGTAGCACTTGTGAGCAGCCCCCAACCCGCTCAGCAGGCCACGCGGCACAGGCACAGCCGCAGCAGGTACACGCGGGAGGAAGGGACCCTACTGGGACCCCTTGGCAGAGATGGGTGCAACATGATGGGTGGTAACCTGAGGGTCACGGCCGGGGAGGGGGGATGACGGACGACACAGTCACCAGGGAGCAGGCAAGACCTGGATGCCCTCCAGCCCCGCCGTGACTATTGCCTGGTCCCAGCCCAGCTGCTCTGGAGGGGCTGGGGGGGGGGTGGGCATCCCCCCCTGTTCTGAGGCTGGAGCCATCAAGCAACACTGGGGCAGAGGGGCTGAGGCCATGGGGAGGGGCAAGGGGAGGGGGAGGTCAGGTCCATCATTAGCACCATGGTGGTGGGGGCGGTTTGGGGAGGGAGCCAGGGTCAGACCCACTCCTGCAAGGAGCGCTTGCAGTACAAGAGCATTCGGGGCGTGCCCTTCCTCTGCATCTGGACGATGACATAGATGAGGCCGAGGATGCAGAGCAGCAGCACCAGCAGCACCAGCACCATGACGACACTCATGGTGCGTGTGTACTCGTCGATCTGCACCACCACGTCCACGTCCCCGCCCGGCTGGCGGCCACCCTCGCTGTAATCCTCCTCGTCTTCCTCCTCTTCCTCCTCGTCTTCCTCCTCCTTGCCTTCGGTTCGCCCGTCCCCATTGGGGTTGAAGGGGGGTCGGTCCCCATCAGGCCAGCGAGGATGAGGGTCTGGGACCAGCTCCGTGTGACAGCCCATGAAGTCCCGTAGGATGGATTTGGGATAACCTGGCTCGGTCTTGAGCCGCTCGTTGTCAAATTTCCAGTACTTTGTGCCTCTGTAGAAGTAGGTGGAGGCTGGGGGGGGGGAGGAAGATGGAGGTGAGGGGTAAGTGGGCAGGCACAGGACATTCCTGCGGATGCCCAGGACAGCAGGTTTTGCTCTGGGACCGGTGAAACCCTTCAGAAAGGGCTTCACTGCTGACTCCCAGGCATCCTCCCGGCCTCCATCCCGCATGGCCAGGCTACCAGAGGGGTGACCCCATCCCCTCTGGTCCCACCCCTGCTGCCCACCCTTCTTCTCCTCCTCTACTTACAGGCATCCGGGCTGAGGAAGGCACCCTTGGGTGAGGGAGGGATGCCCACCCAGACAGAGATGGGTTTTGGGTACCCAGGGTCCACCGAGCGGGTGTCCTCGTTAAAGCGCCAGTATCTGGAGGAGGGAGGCAGTGAGCAGGCGAGGAGCAAGGGGGGGCTCCACCACCCGCCATGCCCACCCCTGCCAGGGGCCAGGAGGTGGCAGAGCAGGGAGAAGGACCCCACAGCCACTCACCTGTCCCCACGGAAGAAGAAGGTGTGCCCCGTGGGTTCCCACCAGATGGCTGCGTCGATGCTGTCGTAGGGGATGCCCTGTCCGTAGGTGACCAGGGGCTGCGGGTACCCAGGCTCCAGGTTGGCTTCTCGGAAGAGCCAGTACCGGTCACCTGGAGGGGGAGGGGATGGAGAAGGGGGGGTGAGCCGGCAATGCCCACTGCTGTGGCAGGGACACATGTGGACAGTGACGGGGATGCGATGCCTGTCCCTTTGGGATCAGGCAGCAGATCTGGCTGGGGAGGGGGATCAGGATGCGATGAAGCCAACCAGTTTTCAGCAGCCTGGGAGGGGGCACTGGGGGCCCCCCTCCACCTCAGCCCTCCCACCCAGATTCCCTGCTCACCTTTAAAGAAGACGAACCTCCCATCATGTCTCTCATAGGCGGCATCGATGTCCCCGGGGAGGCCCCGCCAGAAGTGCCCAATGGGCATGGGGTAGTTGTCCAGCACCCGGTTGTGCCGGACCCTCCAGAACCACCGGCCCTGGTGGGAAACGGGGTGTTGACAGAGGACAGGGGGATGCAGGGACACAGTCCCAGTGCCAGGCATCTCGCCAGGGTGTCCTCCCACCCAGGGACCCACCACATCCCCAGGGAAGGGGCAGGAGGGGGTCCCAGCTGGTACCTTGAACACAAACATCTCCCCACGCAGCACCGCCACTGTGTCGAAGTTCCCATCACAGATGTTGGGGCCATACTGATCAGGTCGGTCTGGGCTGCCAGGTTTGGGGGGCCGCTCCGGTTTCCCTGGGGGGGGCGGTTTAGGGGGTCTCTGGTCTGGCCTGCCAGGTCTCCGGGGTGTCATGGTGGGCAAAGGCTTGGTGGGCTGAGGGTGCCCGTCCGCGGTACCTGGATCGGGTGGGCGAGAGAAGGCATGGGGTAATGCAGACCAGCAGCACCCGTGCCTCAGTTTCCCCAGGCACATGCCACAGATCCCACCTCTGGGCTGATCCCCCACCCAGCTCCTCACCGTACAGCTGCTGGATGCCCTTGAGGTCATCCTCAGGCAACTGGAAGTTCTCCGTGTCCATCCACTGGTAGAAGGGGGCCATGATAGCGCTGGGGTTGCTGGAGTGCTCCAAGCCCAGTGAGTGCCCCAGCTCGTGCACGGCCACCAAGAAAAGGTTGTTCCCTGCAGGGAAAGGCACCGTCAGCAAGACGGGGTGGAGGACACGACGCATGGGGTGGGTCCTTGGCCCCAACACCCTGCGATGAGAGTGCTCTGCTGGGAGCTGCCTGCATCACCCATGGTGGAGCTGCTCTTCCTGCCACTCCTGCCCACACCAGCACATCCCCCGCCATCAAACCCAAGGGGCCACCAGGCTCCTCTGATTGTCTTCACCACCTCCTTAGCCCTCAACTCACCAGACACATCTGTGTTCTCCAGCGTCCAGGGCTCATCTGAATCGAAATGCGTGTCCCCCCCCATGCCAGGACCGGGAAAATAGGCGTGAGCCAAAAACCCCCCGACGCCGTCGAAGGGGGAGCTGTCTCCGTGGAAGCCGGAGGCAAAGAGCACCATGATGTCGGCCTCCTTCTTCCGCTTCTGCCGGATGTCCTCGTAGGGCACCTCCCGGAAAACCAGCGGCGTGGCTTGCTCCCACACCCGGAAGGCTCGGCGGACGGCCTCGTACGAGTGGTACCGACCCAGCTTCTCCGTGTAGTTTTGGATGCTGGGGGTACAGAGGTCACTGGGGACGGCCCGGGACAGCGCTTGCTCCCCGAGGGGGTCCATGGCTCTCCATGGGCTGGGGGCGGGCGGGAAGCCCCAGAGACGTTGGGTACCTGAAGGTGAGATGGCTCTGGCTCCAGCGTCGCCCCGTCAGCGCGTACCGCTTCCGCCGCATGTTGGACTTCATCCGTGCCCCAAACTGGTCCGGGACCCCGCAGGGCCATGTTTCCTCCCCCGACCGGGGGGGGGGGGGGGCATCGAGCCAGAGCTCAGCCCACCGTGGCCAAGGTCCCCAAGGGGTTACAGCAGCCACAGCTGGCGAGGGAGCTCTCCTGGCTGCAGGGGTGTAGCCCCCAAAAGGGGAGATGCAGCTCCCATGGGAGACAGCACTCACAATTCCAGGTGCAGGCAGAGCTCCGGGGCTGGCGGGCAAAGCCAAAGAGCCCGGGAGCGGAGCTGCCTCCTGCTAGAGCAAGAGGACATGGAGAAACTCACGCCTTGGTCTCCTCATCCAGGACGCCGGTGACGGTGATGCCGTAAAACTTCTGCATCTCGGCGAGGGCCAAGGAGAAGGTCTGAGCCGAGCGCATGGTGGACATCTGCCGGCTGGGCTGCGGCAGGTAGCCGTAGAGCCGCAGCCATGCCTGCGCCGGGGAGAGCCAAGCGTGAGGCCGCGGCGGGGAACGGCCCGATGGGGGGACCTGGAGCTCCCTGGGGAGACCCCGGCGAGGCAGGATCCGGCCCACCACCCGCTGCCGCCCCAGGCCGATCCCCCCTCACGGGGCGTCCATGCCAGCTTCCCGGGGCAAATGCCGCACCCAAGCAGGCAGGGCAGGCAGCACGGGCAAGCTGGAGCACGCAGGCAGCGGTTGGGGGGGCAGGGAACAGAGCCCCAGTCCTTCCCCACAGCGTGGAGGGGGGGGGGAACAAAACCTCCGATTTGAGGGGGCTGTCGGTCACCCTGACCCCGAAGAGAAGGCAGCTGGCAGGGGGCCAGCCTGCCCGCAGGCTGCCTGTCTCCCTGTCCTCCTCCGGAGGTGTCCCTCAGGAGCTGCAGACAGACGTGGGGCCAGGCCCCCCCCCCACCAGGGCCCCCCCGCCCCGGCCTCCACCCACAAAGGGGCTTCTGTCCTTCGGGGCCGGCAGCCCCCCGGGGGGCGGGACCGGGGCCCCCGGAGAGGGGCAGCGGGCAGGAGGGGAGCCTGGGGTGTGCCGGGTCTCTTCCTTCCTGCAGCAGCCTCCACCTCCCCTTGTCCTTTTTAATTACTTTTTATTTTTCTTTTTATTATTACTCTTCATTTTTCTCTTTTTTTTTCCTTTTTTTATTTTTCTCCTTTTAATTTTCATTTTCTAACTGTGGGGCTTTTTTTTTTCCTTTTAATTTTTAAAACTTTTTGCTTTTTTCTAAGTTCCTTTTTTCTTTTTTCTTTTTCATTTTCCAATTTTTAAAAAAAATGGTTTAACGTTTAATGTTTTCATTTTGAAACATTTTTAATCTTTTATTGATTTTTTTTACACCCCCCTCCCAGGGCAGGGTGATGGAGCAGGACTTTATCAAAGGCCCTTTCCCCCCCCTCCTCCTCCCGCCGCGGCCTCGCGTGGGCACAAAGCTCTTCCTCTCCCCCGCCGGCTGCTGCCCGCCGCCCCGGGGGGCGACCCGGAACCACCCCCCCGCCTCCCCTCCCTGCCTGCACCCTGCCTGCACCTGCG